ACAAGTATGTTACCAATTTGAAGTTGAAAGTTATGGCTCATATTTGAAGTCTTTCAGCAGTTTATATCCAAGTCCTTTTAAGTAAATCCAAACTGATGAGCTACATTCTAAATTTAGTAATTGTGATTTTGTGGTTTTAAGAACCATCATGTATTGGAGGAGACTATCAAGTATATAATGTGGTTGTCAATTTTAGGCTGCTAGATTTAAAAAAGAATCTACAGAAGTATTTTGAATTTATATGTTAATTAACATTCAATGGTTAACAAAACTATCTTGAATTTATAACCAATGATTAATATGGGGCATGAAAATTTTTTAATCAGTATCCAACTATTACCCGACAGCAACCTTATTCAATCATTTTTCTATGTTTTTTTTTCTGTTGTTAAGACCCCACAATAGAAAAGGAAGAAAGAAATTCTGAAATTTTCCTTTCAGTGAGAAAATCATTTTGAAATTTTTTATAAATAATATACTAAATAGATCATTATTACTTCGAAATATTTTCGAAAGCTATATATGTATAAATGGGGAGTCAAAGTTTTGCTCCCTTGTACCTAGAGGTATATGCGTCCGTCCTAAAGTTCGGATTCGAGAGACATTAAAAGTTTTTATATTAAGCTTACCAAAGGATTAAACAGAGACTCCAAATCTTATCAATTGAGTTGTCCTTGAGCTTTTACACAACAACACCTTGCCTTGTATGGCCTTACATTTATATTTCTTCATTATATTTCTGAAAATCTAAATGTTATACACATAAACTCAAAATTTCAGTTGAAATTTACTTTATATTAAATTATCAAAACGTCACATTCTCAAACAAAAGGCTCACCGAACTTAAACTTTGTCAAACCACTTTGTTTAATTTGTCAACATAATTAGTTTTGTTAATTAAGAAATCACCTTCATGCAATTTAATTAATTAAAATAGAAAGAACTCGGTCACACACTAACAAGGTGGAAAATAATTAAGTTTTTATATTGCTTTTCTAGCACAGTTGGAAAAATTCAATCCTCCATCTCTGCGTTGGTTGTATTTAAAATTAAAAAAATATATATATATACATACACACACATGGAATAACATAGTTTCTTTCATTACAACTACCGTTTGAATTTGTATATTGGAATTATATGTAGACTCAAAGTAAGTCATATCAATATTTTGTAAGCTAATATTAATTACAGGCGTAAGCAGTTCAGTCCACCTCGATTTTATAGTCAAACCAAAATCGAATTGATGATAAATATCTTATTATTGAAAAATCAAACCGAACCGGTATGTAGTTTAAAGCCGAGCCGCTGACGCCACCAAATTGGTCCGAACTAAAAAATCTTAAAAGAAAAATTCAGCGAATTGAATTAGACCCAAATAAATTACATCTATCCGACACCGGAATCTGTTGAATCTCAACGAAAATTTGAAGCTACATCAATTAAGCAGAAAATGAAGGGTGGAAAAAAAAAACAAATTTATCATTATAACAAGTGGAAATTATTTATTGCGATGAAGCTAATTAATTAATTCAGAAGGCAGGAGGTGGTGTTCGTTTAGACATGAAATTGCGCGGCCACTGAAACTTCGGCGGCGGCGGTGACGCCATGGGAGGCGGAGGTGGTGACTTGTAAACCGGGCGTGGCATTCTGAGAGGCGGCGGAGGAGGAGAGTGAAGGGAGATTGCGGCGGCGGCGGACGACGGAAAAGTTAGAGAAGAAAAGAATAGTAATAAAGAAACAAAGAGAAGAGTGGAAATTGAAGACTCCATTTTAATTTTAGTTTTCATTTTGGTGTTGAAGAATGAAGAGAAGAGCTTCATTCATTTATAGGCTTATTCCGCGTATAATAATTCAAACTTCCTTTTTGGTCCAACGCTGCATTGGCCCCGACCGCTACCACTCTTATTCAAAGTCTTATCCCAAGCCATTAAATTTTGTCCACATCAATCTCTATAGGCACGATATATAGAGAGAGTGAATCGATATTTTTATCGATAAAAATTGTTAAAAAAATAATAACAATATAAGATTTAACTTTATTTAAACGAGTAATATTTATTTGTTAATTTAAATAATTTTTATAATTTCTTTTTATTTTTATAATTTTTCTAAAAATACTAGTTGATTTATCCGCTGCCCTTTCACAACAGCTCTAGGGTATCATCTTTTTTTTTTTTGGGATTTTTCAAAAAGTTCTCATGTTCCCTGCATAAATAGAACTTTTCATCAGAGAAAATATGTCCTTCCTGCTTACAAAACTAGCGTAATATATATTGTGGTGCAATACTTTTGGTTCTCCTCTGTATCACACTTGACTAGTGAGAAACAACAAACCTTCACCGATTCCACAAAATCTTTTTCAGACATTTGGGAGGCTATCAGGATTTCTACTCTTGGTCATGAAAAACCCTTTCTGTAATTATGATGTAACTCACTTTTATATCAGGCCCTCTTTTTTTTCTCTATAAAAAATATATATATATATGAAAAATTGATCAAACGGAGATCTTTAAAATTTTAAATTTTAAATAAAAAAATCATTTTGTAAAGTTAAAAAATTGATGGGATAAAGATGGTCTTATTTTATTTGCAACCACCGATATTGACTTCGTGAGCTGAATAATTGAACCTCCATAATTCCCTGTTTTGTTTGCATCTCACCCTTCTCTCTCCCTTCGCCTTTTACTCTTTCAAAATAATAATAATAATAACAATAATAATAATAAATCTTAAGAACAAGCCCAGATGGAAGATAGTTCTCGTTTCGAAGGATGCATTTTGATGGGGAAGAATCTCCATTTTACATTTGCTAAATTGATAATAAAAATAAAAAAAGAAAAGAAAAGAAATTATCACTTTCTAATTCAACTTGAATATATATTCTTCGACTGATTAGAGCATATAATTATTCCAACTAAGAAAATAAAAAAAATCAACCGTCTAGTAGATAAAATATCTCTTACCATCCGAAATATCTTCAACAACCCAAAGAAAGAAAAAGAAAGAAAATCGATAACATGTTCCACAAAGATGAAACAAAGCTAATTAATTTAGCTAATTACATGATGCAAATTAAAGAGAGTAAGAGTAGTAGTATTAGAAAGGAGGTGGAGGTGCTTTACGGGTGTACCTTGGTGGCCATGGCTTCTTAGGCGGCGGAGGCGGCGGCGGTGAACCCTGCCTGCAGTTGGCCGGAGGAGGATAGGGATGATAAGGAAGTATCGGCGGTGGAGATGGTTGAATATTCACGTAGTGTGTAGTTAATTTTGATGCCAGATCTGAAGAGACGAATGTTGCAATGATAAGGAAGAAAAATAGGTGAGAGGTCAATATTGCACGTCTCATTCTCTCCAATTCCAGGATAGACTTTTGGATCTGGCTTTCAAGGACTATATTACCCAAAAAAAAAAAAAATTAGCGAGGTGCTGGTTAGCATTCATTTAATTGATTGTTATTAAAAAAAATTTTAATGTTAGAGAGAAAATAATGCGTAAATATCCATCGGAAAAAGTGACTTCATTGATGTGGTGAGAAACATACATAAAAAAAAGGAGGCTTATATAAAAGCACTCCAATTAAGAGATATAGTAGATGTATCGTAAGTACAAAAAGGATTGGATTTTGTAGACTAAAGAGAAGCAGTGACTTGATGTCCTCCCAAATGTTGGTTGTAGTCTTCGAAAAACCTGTAAATGTTCGGTGATTTCTTTCTAACCAAGTATGCCAAAGAATAGCACTTATAGCATTGCTCCATAATACAGACTTCTGGTTAGAGAGAGGAATGCTAAGGTTTTCTGTGATGAATAAATCGACTTGGCAAGGAATCGCACTTTGGACCTGAAAAATGTAGAAGAGACGATGCCATAAACTTGCAGTAAAAGGGCAATGAAGGAAAATATGGTCCAAAGTTTCAGATGCCGATTTGCATAGTGGACACCAACTGGGACTGATGTATATATGTGGAAGGCGATTTTGAAGCTTGTCCTGTGTGTTTAGAGCTCGATGAAGAATACACCAAAGAAAAAATTTACACTTCTTCGGGATGAGTAAATTCCATAAGGTGGAGAAGAAGTTCTGGTGGT